CCGCATTTCGTCTCCTTTTTCCCCCGGGTCTGACATTTTTAACTCAGATTTTTAAAGGCCCGACTTTTATTAGTCAATTACAGTACTGCAATGAGCCAAAAATAATCGTTTCCATGCTTTCTTCTCTGCCCAACTCCGCTGGCTGGAATTAATAAACTTTATGGGGAACCTCCAGAATACCAAGTTGGAGATGTTGGTATTTCGTTTCGCCCCCTTCTTTCCAGATCAGACACTTTTTAATCAGATTTTTATGCCTGCAGTATTTATTGCAGGTATGCATTATTTAGGGCAAACATTAAATGCGAACTTCAACACTAACTCAGAGTTATGGCCCTTGATTAGTTTATGCCCACCAAGTAATGCTTCTGTTATTGGGCCTTGTGAATATTTGATTATCCTAACAAAGAATCATTTACTGTTTTACCCCATTGATATATTTTATAAAATAAAGCCTTCTATGTCTTCACGTTTGTCGTGTAGTTAGTAATTGCACGAGTACTCTGGCGGGGGATATTAAATTCAACGAATTTGCTTGCGTTGAATAATTGTTCCCTGTGTGAAATTAATTTTTGTGAAAATTTGATTATATATGATTTCCATAAAGTTTGAATTTATTGATGGAATTTGCCTAATTTGGATTTTTTTAAAGTTTGTGTTAACTGTGAAAATTTCATGATTGATTTTGTGAAAAGTTTTATTTTAGGTGTGAAATTATTTATAGCTTTTAAATTTGTTCTTCTGTTCCTTTCATTTCAAAGAAAACTTCTTATATTCAACATCGGATACTTAAATAATTTTAAAGAAAGTTTTTCTGCCAATCAATTCTCGAAAAAAATTTGAAAAAATTGGAATAATTTTTGTACTAATTAAATTATAGGAACCCTTTATGAAAAATAACCACACAGAAGCGAGTGGTCCATGTCTAAAACTATGCCCTGTTGTTTTATTAATGGACATATTATGTAAAGCCAGTGATGTTCAAAAAATGGTTGGGGGAATCATGCATTCTTAAAAAACACACACCAACAACCCAAGACACATTCCATCAAATTCTAGAACAGAACATATATTTTATTTGAAAATCATTTTAACAGGTGTGTAATTCAAAAGGGGGACAACTAATTAATTAAAGTTTTATTGATTTATTCGGTTTTATTTTTCTCATTCGATATTTGTTATCCAATAACGATACTTTTGTTGATAATCGCCTTTGCATTGAAATCAATGACAGCCTTAAGTAGCATTCCCTTGTAAAAGATTTGGTGTAAAACTGATCCTATAAGAAGCTGCGCGTGTCTTGCCGTTTCACGGTGAAAGTCCTAGGTGTACCCTTATCAGCAAAACTATTAAGGACTTACTTAAGACTAGTTCCAAAAAATAATTTTTTTAACTTTTTTATTTAAGTCATTCTCCGACGCGAGAAAAGATAAAAAATACAATGCATGCTTTTCAATTTCTTCATTGTAAATGTTTAATCAGCAATTGAGCATAGCATATTTAGAAATAATTGAAAAGTCCCTTAACATAGGAGTCATAAGTAAGACATTTTTCTTCGAAACAAAAATTTTGTCTAGTTTTGGTTCTTAAGACATCATTTTAGACTAAAGTACTTTCCATGAAAACGCATACCTTTTTGAACTTTACAGCTTACAGGATTAAGGAATAAGTTTGTCAACTTCGTAAACGTGTAATGTAGAACCTAGAGCACTGATTAGGGAAGATTTTAATGGCATGATGAAAGCATTCATGAGGTTGTCAAGGGAGGATGATCTATATAATCCTTTTATCTGGATTTGAAGGTAATTTGATCCTGTCCTCTTCTTATTTGTGTAATGGACTTGCCCCCCGTTGAAAATTTTAGAACAGTCCATTGTTATTATGCCTCCCCGAAAAATTTCGGGGAGAATATCGTCGGGGCCTTGTCCCGTTCTGTCCGTCCGCCGTCTGTCCGTCCGTTGTCTTGTCCGGAGCATAACTTGAAAACCCTTGGAGATAATTTGTTTAAACTTCATACAGTGGTAGAGGGCATTGAGGGGGGGAGTGCAGTTTTTAAAGAACCATAATCTATTTGCCCCGGTTTTTGAATTATCTGCCCTTATAGAAATATCTTTTCCGGGACATAACTCTAAAACTATAAGAGATATCAGGGGGCGTCCGTGGCCGAGTGGTTAAGGTCGTTGACTTCAAACCACTTGCCCCTCACCGCTGTGGGTTCGAATCCCGACAGGGACTTTGGATTCTTTCATGTGAGGAAGCTATCCAGCTAGCTTACGGAACGTCGGTGGTTCCTACTTCAGGTGGCCTTTTCGTGCCCTGAAAATAATGGCCCACGGAAGGGCCCACCTGAGGTCTTCCTCCACCAGTAAAGCTGGAACGTCGCGATATGACCTATACTGTGTCGATGTGACGTAAAACCCAAAACAAACAAACAAATATAAGAGATATCAACATGAAACTTTGTAGGTGAATAGATTTCAATGGGTAGGTGTGCAGTGCATAAGAACAATAACTCTTTTTGTCCTAATTTTGGAGTTATTGCCCTTTGTTAATTTTAACACTTTGAACTTTGTCCGGAACATAACTCTAAAAAGAGATATCAAGATGAAACATTGTAGGTAGATAGATTTTATTAAGTAGAAGTGCAGTGCAAAAGAACTATAACTCTGTTAAGCCTCATTTTTGAATAATCTCCCCTTTTAGAAAAATCTTGTCCAGGACTATAAGAGATATCAACATGAAACTTTGTAGGTAGATATATCTCAATGGGTAGATGTGCAGTGCACAAGAATCATAACTCTGCCTTGCCTAATTCTGGAGTTATTGCACCTTGTTTATATAATGTCCGGGGACATAACCCGAAACCATAAGAAGATATCAACAAGAAAACTTTGTAGGTTGATAGATCACATTGATTAGAAGTGCAGTGCAAAGAACAGTAACTTTGCCTTGCCTAATTTTGGAATTATTGCACTTTGAACTCTTTCCAGGGACATAACTCTGAAACTACTAGAGGTGTACTTTCCTGTGTCCAAAACCTATTCGGGGAGCATCACCCGGCTCAAACCGGGCTCTTGTCTTAAGAGTTTTCAGTATGAAAAAAGTTTTTACTTAGAATACAATGTACTGCAAAATCATTTCTGTTTGTGGGGCACTAATTTTTGTGTCTTTCGTGGATAGGTCAGTCGACGGATTTAAGATCCAATTAAATTTCATTTTGTTTGCTGTAAGATTATTTTACATCACATTATTTACATTGTCTTTTGGAAAAATAGACGGTCCATGAATTTAAGAATTCACAAAAAAATCTTCTTAATGACAAAAAAAAACATAAAATTTCATGCCCACAAAATTAAATAAATTAAAAAAAAGTAGCATTGACAGCTTTAAACTGGTTGCTAAGGTAATGTATTATTGCAGTTTGCATTTAAAGGGTTAAATCATTTCGACGATATGACCTTTCTTAAATGATTTTAACTGAACGAAAATCCTTTGTGAACTTGAAAAAAACCCTGATAAGAGTTTTGCATGTAAGATTGATCTTAAAAATCACTTAATGTATTAACTTGAAAATTCACACATGACTATATATATCTTTTGTTCCTCCATTGAATGAAGAGCAGAATAAGCATACATATAAATATCACACATATATACAAAATTATGACAATTCAACAAACATAATACAGTAGTATGTCAACAAACTAGTCAAATATTAACCTTTTCCCTTATATAAGCGTGTTTCGACGGCTTTTTGCCCCCCCCCTTTTGAGGCCTCAAACAGTGAAAAAATGTCCTATTTAGACCCCAAACACTGTTTTTCGTTTGAGAAATGTTGTTAAAAAAAGTTACCATTTTTTCGGCGCCGTCCCCCATCTAAATAATACATCAGGGGGTTGCCAGAAGGGGGATGTGCCCCCTTCTGTTTGTGGGGTTTGAAGGGGGGCGGAGTCCCCCTCATCGCCAAGAAAATTTTGGACTTGTGAGAGGCTTAAAATGACCCCAGGTTGATCATAAAGTAACGTGTAACCAACGCTGAAAAAGCCTTTGACTCTATCTCAATCCATTGAGAAGTTGCAGCACTTTGAAATAAATTTTGATGGAAAAAATCGAGGCAAAATAGTGATTTTTGGCAATTTTGAGATGTCCCCTCGTAGCCATGGTAACAGGAAATTTAAGACTGAGCATGTTGTTACAAAGGCAATGGTCCAGTCAACATTTGTGCCAAGTTTGATTAGTATTGAAGCATTTTTCATAGCAGTTTGAACTTGTAAGAGGAGGCTTTTCAGTTAAAATGGCCATTTTTCACGATATGCTCATGGGGGAAAGGGTTAATAACATTGTACTAATTTTTGAGACTACACAAATGTATTTTGATAACACGTAAACATATTTAACAAATACAAATATTTAGTGTCAGTAAAGAGGCCAAAGACAGGTTCATGACTGAATGTGACTTTTTTAGAACAATAAATCTAGCTGATTTATAGGCCTTTGTGAAACTAGAAAATTCCTGGTTGAAGTTTTGCATGCAAGATCATTGACATTTAAAAAAATGACCTCTAAATTGTTTGACAAAAAACAAAACAAAACAAAGTTTACCATCTTGTTTCAAAATAATGACTAAGATAAATCTTTTAACAGTTATATTGATAAAATACAAACATGTTTTCATCGACTACAGAATAGATATATTCATAAGTTATATCATCTCTATTTAAACGTAGAAGTTGAAAAAAGGACATTTACATAATGAACAAAATCAAAGAAAAGCATATTTGAAAAAGAAAATATTAGTTAATTAAAACCAGCATGAAATAGAAAAGGGGATGGGTTCAGAAATCTGGTCAAATTTGTTATATATCATTGCTTTATCTTCAATAATAATTCTGAACATACAATGTATGTGCAAAAAAAACCCTCATTTTCATTTAACATCTTGTGTCAGAAATAAATTAATTTTAAATTATAATACTACCTAAATTTCACTCATTTTACAAAACCCAGTCTTCGAAATTAACGCCAGTCCGAGGCCCGAGGCCACTAAATTTAGCATCGGTCCGGTGATTATTGCAAGGTTGGTGGTCCGACGGGCCAGTAGATTTTTGGCCATGAAAAAATATTATAAGAAAAATTCATCAAAATAATGAAGCAGGGTTCTCTAAAAGATTGATCTTTTTGCCTGTTTTGCAAATGAAACCCATCAATTCTGTCCTAAATGTTCAAAATACAGCGCAAGATGTCTAAATTGTATTGAGTAATGAAGGCCGCCATTTTTTTTCTTGGATATTTTCCGTACCTTATCGTACAGTTACGGAAATTAAACCATTGTTTATTATGGTCATTATTTAGCTATGATTTTGTGATTATTGAGTTAAGTAAATTTTTTTATGTGAAAGTGATTTGTTTGAAGCAAATTGCTTTGTTCATGTTCAATTCTAGTAAATTTTGCCTAAACATTTGGTCCTTATAAATTTTTCAAAGCTGTCAACATATGGCCCAAAATACAAGAAGTATTATGCTTTTTTCAAAATTATCAAGGGAAGCATGATAAAGTGTTTTCCTTTACCCATCAATTTATTACCTATCTATGTATTTGGTCCGGCTAAAAATCACCAGGTCCAGTAAGATTTGAAATTTTACTGGCCCGAATGTCCTTTGCTTTTTAAAGTTTTTCGTGAAGACTGAAAACCTTTAAAAAGTATATTTTAAACTGCAAATATCTCTATTATTTTAAATATTTTATTTTCTTTTGAAAAATGAAAGAGAAATTTATAATCTGACAAGACAAAACAAAAGAAAACATTATCATAAATCATCAATGGAAAAAAGCCCCTCTCACCAACCCTGGTATAATTTTGTAAAAAAAAAAATAATTGCGTGTATACATTGTATATACATATATTTTACTTGTGTGCATATATACATATCATTTAACATATAATTACAACTGTTTATGTTTTGTTATGTCCACATTGATTACCATTTCTTGGTTCTACATCATTTTATACATTTTGATATTATTGTTACTCTCTGTGTTGCTGTATGTACTTAAATAAAGTGTACTGGTCTCAGCACACCAACATACAGCATAAGGATGATCCTCTACATTCTCCAGTATAGTTGTCCTGTCTTTACAGTCACCACTTGCTCTATATATACATTTAGTCAATTCATCACTCACAAAGAAGGACCCGTCATCTAACAGTGAAATACCCCTTGGGCTTCCAATGTCTACATTCCTTCCTATCATCTCTCCCTGCCAGTTAAACCATATAACTGCATATTTGCCGTCATCAGATACATAGATTGAATGACTGTTTGTGGTGACATACCTAGGTTTACTGAAAATACTGTCACCATTGGAATCTTTCTCAACTGTAATTTTAATATTACCTTTCAAGTCCATGATTTGGAGTTTAGTAGGATTTAAAAAGGTAACTGCAAGTTTACCCTGATGATGGCTTATTCCACTGCACTTTCCATCAACTTTCAGTTTGTTTTTCATTGAGAGAGAGTTTGAGGAGAAGGAAATGAACTGTATTGTTTTAATTTCTGGTAATGTAACAGCAAGTGTATCTCTGGTCACCATAAGGACATCCCAGGGGTTTGATACAAGCTGTTGTTGTTTAATTGCTCCACTTTTTATGTCTATCATTTTAATTGAGTTATTACTGTAATCTGCTACAAATAATTGGTTCTGAGGAGAGACAGTTATACCAGTTATATCGCAACCATCTTCATCTGAGGATGTTTTAACATTGATGTTTCGAGGGGTTGACATTTTCATTGGTAATGCAGCCTTTTTCTTGGTTTGAGCTTGTTGCTTTATTTCCTTTTTTATCAGTGTTCCTAATGATTTCTCATTCTGAAGGAATTTTTTGATTGCTTGATTGGATTCAAAAGTGTATTCATCAACATCATTGGTTGTTGGTAGTTGTTTTGTTAAATTTTCATTGTGTAATATCAGTTGCTGAGCTATTTTCAATTCTGTAAACAGTTGGTCAGCTTTCTTGTTGGTGTTGAGATGCTTTAGAGTATCAGCTGATGCTTGGAGTGATTTGTTCAAGTCATCACACATTGTTTCTGTTGTTTTCAACTTTTTGTTGTTGTTATGTTGGATTTTTGTTGCAGTATCCTTAACCTCTTTTTCTAGTTCATCTAATCTCTTGTTAATCTCTGTCCTGAAGTTCTCTATTTCTGCTAAAGCATCTTCCAGAGAAGTTGTTGATTTAGCAACTCTTTGTTTCAAATCTTTTGTAATCTGGCAACATTTGTCTGTCAGTTTGTTAATATCTTTTAGAGTTTCTTTGAACTCAGTGCTGTCTAAAGTCTGTCCTGATATATCAGGTATGTAGTCCACATGGCAGGATGTTGTTGGGTGTTCAAGGGTCACACAAACACTACATATAAGTGTGTTATGGTCATGACAGTAGAACTTGATCACTTCTTTGGTATGTTTGGTACAAGGCTTGGATAAATCACCATTTTTTTTACCTGAAGTAGATTTTATTGACTTACTGAGGTTTTGTTTATGTGGCATGTGATCTTTATCTAGAAGTTGGTGATGGCGTAGTGGTTTTGGTTTTCTGTGAGTGTTAAAGCAAGTTTGACATAAATGTTCCTCACAATCGACACAGTAACCAAAGGCAGGTAGTCTGATGTCATCTCTGTCACATATTTTACAGAATATGTCAAAATCTTCAGCAACACCTCGGGATAGTGTAGATGATAGCTTCTTGGATTTCTTTTTACCAGGCACAGCCATAATGTAACCTAGAATAGAAAAATAGTAGATTCTAGAAGTGTTCGACAGTGGCTATGCATTCATAAGGAATAAAGAAACTTGAAAGAAAATAATTTTCTGTCTAATTCTTGCTGTAAATTCATTTTATTTTGTGGACATGAAAATGTGTGGGTTTTTTTAAATTGAACAAAATGACTTTTCTAACAGTTTTTTCCCCCAAATGTCATCATTGTACTTTTACTTTGTGAAAAGCTTTTTAAGTTGAGGATACCAATTCCCTAAAAAGTAGGGATGTCATTCGGAGTCCGGATATCCGAACATTCGGATCACGGTTCGGTGTCCGGAGCCGATTTTCGGATCCGGATGTTCGTATAAAATATTTCAGAATATTGAGAAAATGTGAAAAATGAATGTCAGACATAATCCCCTTCGGACAAAATCCCCTTCGCATACCCGGACAAAATCCCCTTCATGGGTGGACATAATCCCCTTCATGTTTTTGCAAGGCTGGACAAAATCCCCTTCACTACCTGGACAAAATCCCCTTGTTTCATAGGTTTCTAATGTATTATTATGCTCCATAAAAATTGATGAATAATGTATTATTATACTCCCTAAAAATTGATGAATAAAGAACTTTTTTTTTTTCATTTATAATTATGTATCAATAGTTAACCTTTATTTAGTTTAGAAGTTTTCATTAAAATTATGGTAAATTATCAACTGCATAGCACATATTTGATTAGGCATTTCTTTAATTGTTTTAAATTGATTAGTATGAAAAACATTTTTATTAGCCAATAATTGTTTCATTGATTGTATAAGTTGATAATTCTAATTGATATATATGATCCATTGTTACAATTTCTATTGATGAAACAGTGATAATTTAATCAAACCAAGATCACTGCAATACTTGATTGATTATGAATGCTTTAACAAAGCAATTTTAATGTGATCAAAATGTGCTAATTGAATGTGCTTTTCTGCTGAAATATTTTCTACTTATTTATACATTAAGATATTTACCACACAGCATAATGCAGTATGTCGCTCTCATACCCACTTTTTAACTTTATAAACACTTTATAAACACTTTTAAAGAAAATTCATCTGAGGGGGATTTTGTCCTAGGTAGCAATTTTATGAAGGGGATTTTGTCCACTTCAAAATTTCACACATGAAGGGGATTATGTCCACCCATGAAGGGGATTATGTCCAGATATACAAAAATACATGAAGGGGATTTTGTCCGAAGGGGATTATGTCCGTACACCGTGAAAAATACATGAACTGTCACATGCGCTGAGATAATCGACGTAGACTTGGTGTTGACACCATATTGCATATTGTACCTTAATTTGACAATACACATCATAATCTCTGCAGGCTCCCCAAAAATCAATAATTACTTTAATAATTGCGAGTCGTGTATGACACATATTGTTAATAAACACCAAATAAATTTAAGTTTTGTAGGATTCAAGATGAATATTCCGAGTCCCGTGCGATTGTCATCGGAAACGATTTTACATTTTTTTAGTCCAAATTTAGATATTTAATTAGGCAATTGTTTTCATATATTTCGGCTTTCTGACCCATCGTCTCCTTATTATGAGAAAATGAAAAATCTGCAGAAATAAAATTCGCAAATAAAGAAATGCACTTACAAATTATAATATGTTAATAATCACAGCTTTTATTGAAATTGATACGATAATTATCCGACAAAATAACTTTCTCCTATAGTATTAATCAAACATGTGCCTTTTTTAAAAACTTTTTTTTTTCACATTTCTTTTTCACTTATGAACACTTAAAATATGTGTAATTCGAATGTCAGACATAATCCCCTTCGGACAAAATCCCCTTCGCCTATCCGGACAAAATCCCCTTCATGGGTGGACATAATCCCCTTCATGTTTTTGCAAGGCTGGACAAAATCCCCTTCACTACCCGGACAAATTCCCCTTGTTTCATAGGTTTCTAATTATTATTATGCTCCATAAAAATTTATGAATAATGTATTACTATACTCCCTAAAAAATTGATGAATAATGAACTTTTGTTTTTTTATTTATAATTATGTATCAATAGTTAACCTTTATTTAGTTTAGAAGTTTTCATTAAAGTTATGGTAAATTATCAACTGCATAACACATATTTGATTAGGCAATTTCTTTAATTGTTTTAAATTGATTAGTATCAAAAACATTTTTTTTTAGCCAATAATTGTTTCATTGATTAAGTTGATAATTCTAATTGATACATACTGTCCATTGTTACAATTTCTATTGATGAATGAGTGATAATTTAATCAAACCAAGATCACTGTACTACTTGATTGATTGTTATGAATGCTTTAACAAAGCAATTTTAATGTGATTAAAATGTGCTAATTGAATGTGCTTTTCTGCTGAAATAATTTTTACTTATTTATACATTAAGATATTTACCACACAGCATAATGCAGTATGTCACTCTCTTACCCACTTTATAAACCGAGGGGGATTTTGTCCTAGGTAGCAATTTTATGAAGGGGATTTTGTCCACTTCAAAATTTCACACATGAAGGGGATTATGTCCACCCATGGAGGGGATTATGTCCAGATATACAAAAATGCATGAAGGGGATTTTGTCCGAAGGGGATTATGTCCGTACACCGTGTAATTCATGTAAGTTTCGGCAACTTCTTTGATGATTCGAATCAAACAGCCAGGTCTACATATGTTGGTAAATATCAAAGATTGGCAGATTCTTTTGAAAAGCCGGCTACACACCTGTCAAAGGTCATCGTGTGTAAATTGTATACATGTTATTGAACAATGGAAACTTTTAATTTTTTTACGGGTGTTATTTTGTTTTCACAAATGTGAGCAAGTTTTATTGTGTATTAAAGCACTAATTAAGGAATTTAGACAATCGGCGATGAATTTCATTTTTATTTCATTTGAAATCGTAAGTATCATACGCACTTAATTTATCGATAACAGTCATATTCTATATAGAAAAGATAAAATCAATACCAAAATTATTTTGATACGTAACATTCAATTAAAAAAGAAATGAAAGGAAATACTACACTTTGAAAAAGGTCGCGTAAAAATGGTTACGTCATATCAGCCAACTAAGAATATAACAACAATCCGAACATCCGGATGTATCCGGATGTTTGATTCGGATATCCGGATGGCCGTTTCGGCTCCAGATGACATCGCTACTAAAAAGAAACCAATATTATACCATACCGGTAACCTGCTGAATTTCTCAAATGGACTAGTCTATCTTCCATTTTGGGAGTTGTCCATTATCAATATTGGGGGTATCAAGATTTTAAAAGGTTAGTTTTAGCCCAGTAGCAAAAGCTGATTGTTTCAGCTCTGGTAAAATTGGACCATTTTAAGGGCCTCTGTCACATCGCTGTTGACACATCAAACCCAACATAGTAAAAAAAAATCCAGTTTGAGTTGTGGGTGGGGGCATAGAAAATGTCTCTCAAGGTTATTCATGTTTAATTTATTTAGAATAATGTATTATTAATACAATTAGTAAACTTTATTAAAGTATTAAACATAGATATTGAGTTAATTTACTCACCAGTTTTCAGTGATTTATACTTTCCATTAGGATATTGAAAAAAATGTCTTCATAAGTTCCTGATCTGACAAGTCAATTTTCGTATCTTCAATGGTTTGTTTTGCCTATCAATGGTTTGTATTTTAAAACTTGTAAAGATCGATTTATGAAATATCATGTATCATGTTACACCCACAATAGAAATTCAATACATTACATTTAAAGCAGTAGTTTAAGGCCTCTATCTTTTCAACCTTTTTTAATTGGTATTCAGATTTTATGAATTGATTATTTAAACAAATGAATAAAAATGCCTGCTTGTAAGAAATACAATAGATAAACCCAATGATATAGCTGATTTAAAACATTATTTATGTAGCTCTTGGTTGGCTTATAAAATGATTTCTATAAAGTGGAAATATCACAACATGTTCGTATAGTATAAATGGGACAATTTTAAATGACATTATAAAAGACTGTTTATCTTGATTTTTGTGTTTGGCTGTTATTAAGTTAGTTGCATAAAAGAATAAGGTAAACGATTTAAAGAGCTCAAAAGGAGGGACCTATTAGGAACTGTATCTGTTTAAAACATTTATTGTTTTCTTATTAATGTCTCATTATCTACATTCCGTTGGTATGCGTAGTGAGATTTATCAAGACAGACTTAAAGTTTATTTATCAGATTCTCCATTCAGCGTCTGATCGTGAAACACCCGTTTTTGTACCCCGCCTTTTCGAAGCAAAAAGGGGGATAAAGAAATAGGCTCCGTCCATCTGTCCGTCACCCTTTCGTGTCCAGTCCATAACATTGTCATTTATCAAAGGAATTTGAAATTACTTGGCACAAATATTTGTTATAATAAGACGATGTGTCATGCGCAACAACCAGACCCCTACCTCCAGGGTCAAGGTCGCACTTGTTCATTCAAGGTCAACATTTTTTATTTGAGGGTATATGTAGTGTCCGGTCCATAACTTTCTTATCCTTGAAGGGATTTTGTAAATACTTGCCACAAATGTTCACAATAATGAGTCGATGTGCCATAAGCAACAACCGGTCACCTACCTCCAAGGTCAAGGTCACCCTTGGAGGTCAATTTGATATAAACATAGTCTGTTACAGGGTATATTTTGTGTCCGGTCAATAACTTTTTCAAAGATCAAAGGATTTTAAAAATACTTTGCACAAATAATCACAATAATATGACGATATGTCATGCGCAACACCTGCATCCCTACCTCCAAGGTCACACTTAGAGATCAAAGATTGACATAGTCTGTTGTAGGGTATATTTTGTGTCCGATAAATAACTTCTTCATAGTTCAAGGGATTTTAAAAATACTTGGCACAAATAGTAACAATAATAAGACGATATGTCATGCACAACACCTGTACCCCTATCTCCAAGGTCAAGGTCACACTTAGAGGTCAAAGCTTAACATGATAGATTTTTAAATTCCATGTTTCATTTTATAACTTTAATAAATTTATTGTTGCATTTGCAGATCTAGCATTGGTCATAATTTTGGACTGAAAGTCTTGAGATCCATACCTCAATCTTTTGAAATAGCACAATCTTTTGAAAAAGCACAATATTATGCTTCATAACTTCCCGTAGTGGGGGACGTTGGTAACTCTGTTACAAATTCTTGTTCATATATCTTTGTGTATGGAAACAGGATGAACAAAATACTTCCATTCTTCATGTTGATTGTATGAACCAAATCTTAGAAAAATTGGCTAAAATTTTACTGAGCGAAATTTTTATGCCCCCGAAGGATGGCTTATAGAAATCGCCTGTCCGTCCTTCTGTCTGATAATCTTGACCACGCTTCATCACCAAAACCGATTGGGGATTTTTGTGACCATGCCTAGTTGTAAATACTCTATTGATTTTCTGTTTGATTCTTTTTTCTTAATGGTCAATTTTCAAGTAAAATAAGCTTGTTCGTTCTTCATCACCAAAACCGCTGGGGGATTTCAGTGAAATTTCAGAGGAGTGTTTGTCACCAAGCCTAGTTGTGCAAACTCCCTTGATGTTTTGCTTGAATTTTTTTAGCACATTTATGACATCTTTATGGTCAATTTTCGAGTAAAATAAGCTTGTCCGTGCTTCATCACCAAAACAGCTGGGTGAATTTTGGTGTAACTTTACAAGATGTTTGTCACCATGCTTAGTTGTGCATATAATCTTGACTTTCTGCTTGATTTTCTTTTGCTCAGTTATTGCCCCTTAATGGTCAATGTTTGAGGAAAATAAGTTTGTCCTCGTTTCATTACCAAAACCGCTGGGGGATTTCAACAAAACTTTACAGGATTGTTTGTCACCAAGCCTAGTTGTGCATACTCCCTTGATTTTTTGCTTGAATTTTTTTTCACAGTTATGGCCCCTTTGTTATCAATTTTCGAGTAAAATAAGCTTGTCCTCGCTTCATCACCAAAACCGCTTGAGGAATTTTAGTGCATCTTTTGAACCAAGTGAAGGAAAATTGAATTTTACTCAGCAGTCCATACTGCTCTGATACTATATTGATGGATAAGACCTGTTTTTCATAGCCACAAAAATAATACAATGTCAAACATACTGTTGAGTATTGTAAAACAAGAGTAGTGAAGATATTATAATATATTTTTGATACACATTATAGCTGAGTGTAATGATGATGACTCGGAGATAGATGGCGCTCTATTCTTTGCTGTATGCCGTGGTAAAGTTAGCGAGGGGATGGATTTTGCTGATGACAATGCCAGAGCTGTTATTACAGTAAGTCTCCCATTCTTATCTGCAATAACGTTAACTCCAAAATAGTATTATGTAATCTTTGGTCACCAAAAATTAGGTTCATATTTCTTGTATATATAGGAATGACAAAAAGAGGATGGGACCAAGCAGCCTAAACCATCCCTGATTTTACTTAATTAAAATGAAAGATGTAAGCAGTAAAGCGGCAGTCCTAGTACTATTTCAACCTCATTTGCATTTGTATATAGGTTGGTTTACCTTATCCTAACTTCAATATTTGTATATGATAATCAATTTATAGGAAGGAACACCTTATCGTAGCTTTTATATTTATGTATAAATATGTATTTATACCCTGGAAACGAAGTTTGGGGATGTATATAGGAGTCACTTGGTAGTCAGTCGGTCCCATTGCATTTTCCTTGTCCGGAACATAACTTGAAGACTAGTTGGAATTCAATACAACTTCATACAATGGTCAAGCACATTCAGAGGAAGTGCAGTGTACAAAAACCATAACTCCATCTTCAATGATTACAGAGTTATTGCCCTTTGTTTCTTTTCCTTGTCCGGAGCAGAACTTAAAAACTACTGGTTGGAATTCAAAACAACATCATACAATGGTCAAGCACAATAAGGGAAAGTGCAGAGCACAAGAACCATAACTCTATCTTAAGTAATTACAGAGTATTTGCTATTGTTTCTTTTCCATTGTTTTCTTTTGTTCGGACCATAACTTGAAGACTGATTGTTGGAATTCAATATAACTTCATACACTGGTCAAGCACATTGAGAAGAAGTGCAGTGGACAAGAACCATAACTCCATTTTAACTTATTACAGAGTTATTTCCCTTTGTTACTTTTCCTGGTTCAGAGTATACTGGTTGGAATTGAAAACAACTTCATACAATGGTCAAGCACAAAAAGAGAAAGTGCAGTGCATAAGAACCATAACTCTATCAAAAGTAATTACAGAGTTATTGCCCTTTGTTACATTTCCATCACTTTTTATCCGGAGCATGACTTGAATACTAATGGTTGGAATTCAATACAACTTTGTACAATGGTCAAGCACAATAAGAGAAAGTGCAGTGCACATGAATCATTACTCCATTTTGACTAATTACAGAGTTATTGCCCTTTGTTACTTTTTCTTGTTCGGAGCATAACTTGTTAACTACTAGCTGGAATTCAATACAACTTCATACAATCGTTAAGCACATTAAGAGGAAGTGCAGTGCACAAAAACCATTACACCATTTTGACAAATCACGAAGAGTTTGAAGATACACATTCATGTCCGGACTGTAACTTTGTCATGGATGGAAGGATTTTAGAATGACTTGGCACAAATGTCTACCACATCAAGACGATGTGTTGGGGCTAATGCTCATGTCAGTCTTTTTGTCCGTGTTTCCCCACTTACACAACAATCATGTCCAGACTGTTACCTTGTCATGCATTTAGGGATTTTGAAATTACTTGGCACAAATGTCTAATGCATGACAACATTCTGTCGCGTCCAGGAACCACGTCCCTTTTCATAATACCTGCATGCTTAAGAAACCTTTGGGGAGGGGGGGGCATTTATTACTTATGTGACAGCTCTTTATTGATTTATGTTTATCTGTTTATAGGTTGGAATACCTTTCCCTATTGGTACATTGTATATGCTTATCTATTGAAAGGTTGGAATACCTTGTCCTAACTTTAGTGTTGATTTATGTTTATTTGTTTATAGGTTGGAATACCTTATCCTAGCTTTAAAGATGTCCAGGTGAAGCTTAAAAGAGAATACAACGACAAACATAAGATTGATAGAGGACTTCTAAGTGGAGGTGACTGGTATGAAATCCAGGCATTTAGGGCCTTAAACCAGGCTCTAGGAAGGTGTATAAGACACAGGTAAGTTCATACAAACTTAATAAAATTATAATGTTTAAAAATATTTGGTAGGTATATATATACATGTATATATATATATATTGGGATATTTTTGAAGTTTATTCAATTTTAGAAATATTAAATGTTCTTTTGATTTTTCTCATTGACCTATATCTTAGTTATAAAAGAAATACTTTGATTCTCCACAGAAAATTAAAATTATGGTTGTTTTATGTAAGAATGCTCTGTTTATCTTCCAGAAAAGACTGGGGAGCCTTGATCATTGTTGATGATAGATTTGTTAAAAGAACAGAAAAATATTGCAAGAGTAAGTATAGTAAACACTTCCTAATCCATATAGTCTGTATTCTGGCATATTGTCAAGTTCAAACAATTTTCCTCTTTAAGGATTGTTGTCCAGTCCAGACAATTTTCAAAGTCCAAGTTCTTGGTGTTGCTTTCTTTATTCTAAATACAATTGTTTCACTGTCCTGAAATACATTGACCATGTTACACTTATTATTGACTCCATTATGTAGAAGACCAGAAAGAAACAAAAACTTAATGTTATTTTGTCAAGTACAGAAAGATATTAAGGGGATTTTTAATCATAATTATACAGTTAAATTGTATGTTTTATGTGTATTAACAGGTTTGTCAAGATGGGTAAGATCCAAGGTACAGACATTTAATGTGTTCTCCGACTTTCTCACATCCATGTCAAACTTTACTGAGAAAATGATCAAAGAAATGCCCAAAGTTAGGTAAGTATATGTATATACCAGATTATTATATTGAACCTTTCTTGAAATAGTTTAGGATTTTAGTATTGTTAAATGTCTGTCGGACATCGTCTGTCGTCCGTCCACATTTGTTCGTTAACACTCTAGTGGTCACATTTTTGACTAAATCATCATCAAACTTTGTCAGGATGCTTGTCAAGGTAATTGCTCGCATCAGTTCGAACATGGGTCATCTCGGATAAAAAACTAGGTCACAGGAGCATAAATAGAAAAAATCGTGTTAACACTTTAGTGGCTACTGTTTTGATCCAAATATCCTGGAAATTGTTAATTTAGTTCACGTTTCATATGGATATGAAATGCTTCTGATTAAAAAAAAATCATTTTCTTTATTTGTGGTTAATATTAAGTTTTGTTATGATTATATATAATGTATCTGTATTTATCTGCGTGCGACCAGTGCAGACTAAGATCGGCTGGCACTGATGATTGTATGCATTGTTTACCACTTAGTAAGAACTTATTTTGAAATCTTTTCTAAAAAGATATTGAATGGTTTTTCCCAGGTTGAAAGATGGACAAGATAATGTTTGGTAAGAGAAGATATTGTCAACTTAGTGCAATAACTGGTTAACTCCTATTAATTTTAGAAGGACAGAACTTGTTACTGAACTAATGTGACGAATTATATGCATATCATTGGTGTACATACATTGTATGTCTAAACATATCTCTATGGTAAAAAGATTTACTTGATTATTTACAGTCCAGACACATCATTTATTCCCAGTACACCATGTGACGACAGAAGAGATTCTGTTTATAAGAGACATTCACTAGATAATTCATACTTGAATAGTACTATACAGGCTTCACCTTACTTCACGTAAGTATTTTGTTATCTCTGTTGTTGCTCATAAGACTTACTAAATAAGACCTAAGACGCTCCTCCATCCATTATTTCAGGCAAAGTTGGATACATGAATAGAATCTTAGATCTTCTGTTAGCTAGCTAGATTGTTTCCTCACATGAAAGGATCTAACAATTCTGTTAAAATTTCATAATTAACAGGCTGAGATTGAGCTTTTAGTTATATATAGTTTTGACCAGACTGCTTGAATATACAATTCAATTTGGTAGTCTTCTTACTTAAGGTGTAGTAGAGGGTCACTGAGGTCAAGGTCATTCATGCTTAAAATAGATTTATACATTTCTGCTCATAAAAATCTCGTTTATTCACCGATTTCTTTAAATGTTTGTTGGTAGATTCATTTAACAGATTCTTTTGACCTAAATTTTCAGTGGAGCAAGAGGACACTTAAGTCAATGTCAATAGTGCTGAAAATAGATTTTCATACTTTTAATTACTTGTTAATACAGTCTTTGAAAGTATTTTTTTGAAGATAACACAAGTTTTAAAGTTTGTTTAGTTATTTTATTTTTAGCTCACCTGTCACAAAGTGACAGGGTGAGCTTTTGTGATCGCTTTTCGTCCGGCGTCCGGCCGTCGTCCGTCCGTAAACTTTTGCTTTAAATGACATCTCCTCATAAACCACTGAGCCAATTTCATCCAAACTTCACAGAAATGTTCCTTTGGTGGTCACCTTTAAAAATTGTTCAAAGAATTTAATTCCATGCAGAAATCTGGTTGCCATGGCAACCGAAAGAAAAATCTTTAAATATCTTCTTTTAAACAACCCTAAGAGCTAGAGCTTAGATATTTGGCATGAAACATCTTCTAATGAGTGTCAACCAAGTTTGTTCAAATAAAAGCCCTGGGTTCAAAATTGGCCCCGCCCCAGGGGGTCATTGATTTTCCCTATATGCATATAGTAAAAACTTAAAAAATCTTCTTTTAAAGAACCCAAAGAGCTAGAGCTTAGATATTTGGCATGAAACATCTTCTAGTGAGTGTCTACCAAGTTTGTTCAAATAAAAGCCCTGGGGTCAAAATTGGCCCTGCCCCAGGGGGTCATAGGATTTCCCTATATGCATATAGTAAAAACTTAAAATATCTTCTTTTAAAGAACCCAAAGAGCTAGAGCTAAGATATTTAGCATGAAACATCTTCTAGTGAGTGTCTACTAAGTTTGTTCAAATAAAAGCCCTGGGGTCAAAATTGGCCCTGCCCGGGGGGTCATTGATTTTCCCTATATGCATATAGTAAAAACTTAAGAAAACTTCTTTTAAAGAACCCAAAGAGTTAGAGCTAAGATATTTGGCATGAAACATCTTCTATTGAGTGTCTACCAAGTTTGTTCAAATAAAAGCCCTGGGGTCAAAATTGGCCCCGCCCCGGGGGTCATTGATATTCCATATATGCATTTAGTAAAAACTTAAAAAATCTTCTTTTAAAGAACCGTAAGAGCTAGAGCTTAGATATTTGGCATGAAACATCTTCTAGTGAATGTCTACCAAGTTTGTTAAAAAAAGAAGCCCTGGGGTCAAAATTGGCCCTGCCCCAGGGGGTCATTGATTTTCCCTATATGCATATAGTAAAAAATTAAAAAATCTTCTTTTAAAGAACCCAAAGAGCTAGAGCTAAGATATTTAGCATGAAACATCTTCTAATGGGTGTCTACCAAGTATTTTCAAATAAAAGCCCTGGGGTTTAAACTTGCCCCGCCCCGGGGGTCATTGATTTTCCTTATATGTGTATAGCAAAAACTTAAAATCTTCTTTGAAAAAACCCAAATAGCTAGAGTTTAGATATTAAGCATGAAACATCTTTAAGTGAATATCTACAAAGTTTGTTCAAATAAAAGCCCGGGGGTCAAAACTGGCCCTGCCCCAGGGGTGTCATTGTTTTTAACTATATGTGTATAGTAAAAACTTAAAAAATCCTCTTTTAAAAAACCCAATGAGCGCTGAGATTTTAGATGTTTAGCATGAAACATCTTCTTATTGGTGTCTACCAAGTCTGTTCAAATAAACAAATAAAAGCCCTTGGGTAAAAATTGGCCCGGGGGGGGGGACTATATACAGGTGAGCGACCTCAGGGCCATCATGGCCCTCTTGTTAATTGTTTTTTTTAATTACAGAAGTCCACCATTGAATCAGTCTCCAGATTTGCAAAATTTATTTAGAACTCCTGAAACCTCAAGCAAGAAAAGATCAGTAACTAGCCCAGCTCCAATGTTTCCTGGAGTTACCTCCCCTACAGTGCACCAACAGGTGCTTGCTGGAGTTACTTCCCCTACAGTACAGCAACAGGTACTTACAGGAGTAACCTCCCTTAATATACAGCAGCAGATTCTGAATGTGATTAATTCAGGGACAGGACCAAAAGATCAGCCATATTACATTATTGTAAACCAAGGGACGTCGAGTGAACAAACATTTCTTATAGAACCAAACAAACATGGAGGTAAATGATCAGAAGTAAATCATTGAGTTTATTATATCATGAACTTGAATTATTGAAAATGACAAAAATTAGTTTACATTATTTGATTCCCATTAAAAATAGCAGTAATTTATCTTTGAAAATTTAAAGGGACTCAACTTCATTTTTTGGGACATGACAGGACTAAAATTTCTTTTTTCGTGATTAATGTTCCATTTGATGTAGGTCTTGACCAATAAATTGTGTGCAAATATCAGATTTTTCACTTACTCTATTGTTTTTTTTCTTCAATGTATTGATTCTAATTGTGAAAAATGACTAAAATCAGACTAGGAATAGCACTAAAATGCGCTTTTCAATTTATATACAGTAAAATGCCATCTAACGACTACGCCACAAATAGGACCACGCCACTATTAGGGGCACTTTTTAAAAGTACAAAATATTTGCCTTCTTTGTTCATTGAGAAAAATGACCAGTATACCGACCACGTCTCTAATCCGGCATAACAACCACTTCTGTCAGACATTTGTGTGTATTTCTCATCAAAACATTAACCTGTATTACGACCATGCAACATAATGGCCAGAAATCACTTGGTGTTTATTGCCCCCCAATTAATTGTCGTAATCTTCCCTCTGGCGTAAACAAATACACCGGGTCAAATGAGGTCATTAATATATATCGATTGATTAGACGCTTGCTTTACAATGTATCTGTAGCATTCAAGCGTCAACATGATCAGTTTAAACCACTTCTGGCTAAATAATCTAAGCAGCTATGGTGTGAGAAACGATTAATTTGTCGGGGTAATTAGGATGTAATAAACAGGTGAATAGCATTTAAAATTGTTTGTTGTGCATCACAATTTATATCAAGTATGGTAAAAATTGGTAATTACACCAAATTATCAGTTCATGTGTGCTTTATTTCGATATGTAATTGATGTACTAATTATAATGAGAGTCATAACTATATTTAATACCTCATATTTTTTCTTCTAAAGGGGAAACTTGAAACACTAGCCGTAATTTAATATTTTCATTATACATGTATTAATGATGTATCATATTATCATACATTAAAAATGTTTTTGTTTAAAAAAATGTGTTTCTTGTTACTCATTTAATTAAGTACATTTACTATGTGCACAAAACTATACAAGGTATACATTTAGTTAAGTTGGACTTCGTTAGCTGTTAAAGTGACTTATTCACTATTAAGACCAGTTCACTATTAAGACCACTTTGAGTCAGTCCCGTTAGTGGTCTTAATAGAGAGAATTTACTGTATTTCTAAATTATTTTTTGCATATCTCTGTTTTATGTGCCTCAGCTGATCTATGTATGAAATTTAAATTTTGTGTCTAGAGTTTTGGACCTTAGTGGAGTTCCTTTAAAGTTTAAATCAAAGTTCTTTTTAAGTTTTTCTGTTTCTCTAGATACAAGGAAATTTTGCATAAAAATGTTATCTAGTAGTTAATGCTTCTGAAACCTTCTAGTACATGTATATACACAAGATATTTTCAGAATATTCAGATTTTTATTGAATATTTAAAAAAACATTAATCTTATTATTTGCAGTTTTATGTGATTTAGGCAATCAGCAGATGCCATCAATGGTTCCTCCAATTTTACCCTTAACACAAGCTGCAGGTCAACAAGTGGTGTTGAACATGCCTGGAACCAGTCAGCATCAAACTATTTTACTGACAATGCCTCAACTTCCGGTGCAGGGAACCATTTTGCCACAGTCTGCTGCTATTCAGGGAACCAGTCTAAAATCTGATTTCAGGGGAGTTAATCAGCTGGACAAAACAAATTCCACAGATGGTATAAAATCGGAAAATGTGTCTAAAGAAGAAAAGAAAGCAGATATAGTGTTTACTCTTGGGTCAAGTACACTAAGAGCAGAAGAACAACTGAAGAAATTTGTTAGTTCAAGTCAAGCTCCACGAAATCAGGCCTACTATGTTGTTGTAAATAAAGGGGAGACAAATGAGAGGGCATTCTTTATTGAACCAAACAAAAAAGGAAAATCTAAACCTAACACGGAAAAGAAAATTGAAGCAGGTAATAACATGTAATTTGTTTTTTTTTTTTGTATGTAATATGTACACTCAAGCACGGATTTATATAAATCCGTGACTCAAGGTATCTTATTTTGTGTTATTATGAGTACTTTAAGACTGTAGGTGTGACTTTAGACATATTTTGCTTGCATGTATATACCATCAATACCTATGTTTAGTTTTGGTAATAATCCACTGTTTTCTTCAAAGATTTATCTGCCTGTTACAGGCAAATTTGCATTTGGATCTGTTTTCTCCAGCCTCCTCTGAAAATTTGTTTTTACCTTTTTGTCTGGTAATAGATGATTGTAGCAAATGAATTTTACTCCTTTATATAGGTTCAAATATTGCAATATAAAAAAAACTATTGTCTTTTCTGTCCACTTAAGTTGGATAGTAAATTTGAATGTGTTGTTGGAATAAGAAAAAATTAATGTCTAAACTAGACTTTACTTTTATGGATGTGTGCACTTTGTGTGTTTTCATTTAAGATAAATTAAAAGTCTTTGTTGTGTTATTGAGGGCGTATATTACCTATTTTTCAAAGCTAAAACAAGCGCCAAAAGGTGTAAATTCAAACACTAATTGTAAAATGCCTTATAAGAAATGATGATATCTTCAATATCTTATTTAATTGGACTGACATGAGGTATTTGTTAACATTTGTTGATGAACTGATGTTATTTCCAGAGAAAACTGATGACAGTCTAGTTAAAACACTAGATCCAGTCAAAACAGAGGACAAAAAAACAGTCAAGGTAGAACAGGAAGTGGAAGTGACTGATTCTTCTACAGGAGATCCAGAACCTCAGAACAAGTTCCTAAAATTTTGCCAGCTTCCAAAAACCCCAGCTAAAGTTCCAGTGGCAGCTGTTACACCTCAGAGACAATCTGAACAGGTTTTTAATTAATCACATGAATGAATTCCAGAAATATTTAGATCAAACGAACTTAAATTAAGAGCTGCAGATCGAATATCACATTATCATATTATGTTTAGATTTGTTGCAATGATTTACTTACACTTATCTCTATGAAGTATAATTGACTGATTATGAAAAATACTGAGGATAACAACATTGTGGTGTTGTTTTTGTCTCCTACAATATTAACTTATCATGAGTCTCTTAGCAATGCAAGATTGTCCTCCTATTGTAGACAAACATTTGCTACATGACCTAAAGCCTAATAAAATGAATATAAGTGTTAGGCCTAAAATAAATGTATAGATTGTAGTGGAGATAGGGCTCCTTTTACATTTCACCATTCGTTTTTGTCAATAAACATTAATACTTGCATAAAATATAAAAACACACAGGTGTACATATTGCCCCACTGTTGTGGTGCTCTTGTTAACAGCAGGATTATACCCTTGTAGACTGTTAAATAATATTTTTATTCTGTGTGTAAGAGGATTTATCAAAAGGAAAACATGTAAATTTTTGTTAAGATATTGTTACTGTTTTTAGGAAATCAAAACAGAAACTGTTGACTCTGTGAAAATAGAACCAGGTAGTCTTCCCCAGACTATGTCAAAATCTTCACACAATCCTCAAACTACATCAACATCCAGACAGTTACAGCCTACATGTACATCACCTGTACTCTTTGAAGATGGCCAGACAGATGGACCAGCTCCTGACAGTGTAGATAAAACAAATAACCTTGCTGAATTAGATAAAGAACATAGCACAAAGAAGAAACCAATTTTCAAGAAAAGGAATACACTTTCTACAAAAACACTTAAATCTGAGATTGAGGACTGTAAGGGAACATCTAAAGATGGAGATAGTAATATCGATGGAGAAATTAATATTGATGAAGTAAATAATGATAAACATAATGCTGATGATTTTAAAGAAGAAAGTAAAGGAGGAAGAATGACTAAGCCTACAACAAGAGGAAAGGTAGATCTGTCAGTGGTAGATGAAGTTCAACAGGGTAGAAAGAAATCAGATGATGTCCTACAAGAAGCAAAAGATAAGAAGAATGTTGGGGAGGAATTATTAGATGGGGAATCAGCTTCAGGCGATTATTTTTATTTATGTTTTTATCATATACAGTCTTATACAGTAAAATTCATAAAACATTAGATGTTATTAAACATTTTTTAATCTTTTAGGAAAGTTTTCTAAAGTCAAAGTTTAAAGTCAAGTTTTAACAGTTTTACTTAATATGTTGTTTAAAGTAAGTTAGCATAATTAATATAAAATGTGAAATTTTCCGAAAAAAAAATAGCTAACATGATGCTGTTCATTAAAGATATACTATGTTCATCCTTGAGTTAAATATTTAATATGGAAATTTATAGAAATTCTTAATGAATATATCTTATTTGAATAAAAGAATGCCTTATGATTTATGAAGAATTTTATATTACTCGAAACTAGTAGCAAATGAAATAATTATACTCAACCTGGTGTTGTATATGTGTTCCTCACCTGTTTAAATCATTGTTGAATAGAAGAATGTATAAACTATGTATGGTAAGCTGCGTTCCCTATTACAGGTTAACTAAAGTTGGTCTTTTCTTTAAAAAGCCAGATTTTTTAACTCTATTCATATTGTGAACACATGTAGTGTGTAGACTTTTAAACATAACATATCTTCTTTGTGTGAAGTCAAAACATATTTATTTTATTTTTACAGCTAGACTGTGTAGCAATTATCAATATTTTCTAATATCAAACTTGAGCATAGTGTATCTTTAACATTGCTCTTCTCTTATTGATACATCTATTTAACAATTTTATGTCATTATAAAGGTAATGATGTGAATTCGGACGAGGAATTTCTCAATACACGAAGACGTGGTGGACGGAAACGTAAATCAACAAGTAAATTTCAAGAGTGGTCAAAGCGGTCAAGGAAAGGTGTCACATATGAAGATAATGAAAACATTGAAGAAAAAGAAAATAAGGTAATTTGTTTTTATTGCAGGTAGATATAATAGTAAATGCTTTACTTTTACTTTGTTGAGAGGATCAGGCTTTTTGGCTGAGTCATAAAAGGAACTCCACTGAGGTCCAAAAGCCTTATATTTGAATTTCTTCCATAAATCAGCTGGAGCACTTGAATAAAAAAAAATATGCAAAAGATTATTTAGAAATAAACATTATGAAATAAATTAAGAACTATATTTGTGAGCTATTCTTAGCCCAATTTTAGTGAACGCTTTTAAGTTTTGCGTCATTTTCAGTTAGATATTCATTCTGGTAAAACAGAATAAGCAAAAGATCTCAAATTTTGCGTACAAGCTATTAGTAAATACCTACATCAAGTGAAGTATCAATTTCGAAAAATTATTTCCAGTCCTGTTATGTCAAAAATCATGTCCTTTTAAGATAATTGTAGACTTCTGATCACATCACTTGCGGTTTTTTGCTTCGAAACTTCCAAATTTGGGTTTTTTTTTGTGAACG